TTCAAACACTCCCAACAATTTGTCAGGCTACCGTTGTGTCATTTCTGCCTCCAAATAGATCAAAAAGGAAAGACGTGTCATTCATGGAGCGTAAATGCCACAAACTACTTTGAGCTCATGGCTGACTTGTTTCGCGTGCTTTGCTCACATGGCATCAACTCTCTCAGACGTTCTATTTCTCCAATCTCTGGAATGATTCAGTAAAAGAAATGGTCGACATGTCTGCGGTGCTCTGTTCAAAGGCATGATTTGGACTCAACTACAAAAAACGAAACACAACAAGTTCCTGCTACAGTAGAAAAACCAATTGCTTTTACTAATCCAACCACGAATGTCCCCAGCCAAATTGTTGACAAACTGACTCTCCGCCTCCTCCAAAGCTCGGAACGCTTCACTCCGTCGCTGGGGGCGTTCCACCTCACTCGCAAAGACCGTTGGAAACACCAAACAAGTGCGAAAACCGCGCTGCGGCAATGCCATGCATGGAATTGGGGCCTCATCTTCATCCTTGTACCAGCCCGTCCCATCTGTTGTGTACATTAAGCGAGTAGTCTCAACCAGAAGAATTCTCTGCTCCATGCCATGCTTCGTAAGCTGATCTCCTGCGCGTCCTTGACGAATTCAAGACATTCAAGAGTGCAAGGCTGGCTATACATCCGGACTCCAAAAGGATTAAAAGAGTTTTAACAACCGAGGGGGTGCGGATTTGAAACGTCAGCTCATCAATCAAAGCTTCCCAAACCGATCCATTGGCCACCATCCCACACCCGCCTCCAGGCCACGCGTTTTGGGCGACCTCAGCGCATAGGACCGGACTCCAGAGTCTGCGAGGGGGGTACTTGACGGAGGACGGACTCCCTGTGGAGGTCGGGCAAGTCTAAACTCCCATCACCCGGTCTCACCTTTTTTTTTCGAAGACTAAAAACATCGAAAGACATTGGATTTGGGGAATACCGTGGAGGTGCCTCGGCAAATAGTACTCTGAGCACAGTGAAGCACACAACCAAGCTGTTCAGTGTGATGTGAATTCATATAAATGCAAGCCACATGAACATGATACACCGTATACCAGAATTAACCTACATGATCCTACATGATAGCTCTGACACCCTGGCATGTGCTTATCATGTTCAAAACGAGGTACAGTATATACATGTGTCCTTTTCGCCTCATTCAGATTCACCTGGTCGAAATGGAGTTGAAGAAGGTCCAGCAAGGCGCACCTCCTACAGCTGAGACTCTTGGCTTTGTAGCGGTTGGGCCTCCTCCCAGTGCCCTGGCGCTTCCTGCAGGATAGTTGCGATGCAGAAAATTGCAGACCATTTTTGTTTCCCAGACGAGGGAATTGGCTGGTTGAGCTTGCCAAATTGAACACGCTGATGGTGAACAAAGTTCAAAGCAAGGGCCAAGAGCCATCCTTTTTCCGAATGTCCGCAGGCGCAAGTTCTCCACCTGCAGGTCAAGTACGAAAGCTATGAGCACCATTGCTAGGATGACACAACAACCAAATTCATTGCCAAGCCTCGCATTGCGATCAACATAGTTCGTGGCGCCTGCCAGATAAACCAGAAGCAAGTCCAAATTAAGGCTTGCCATCGGGATGATCAGTTCCAGCGGCCATGACAGGAACCAGTGCAAAGAGCCACAATACAAAGCCACGATCACGAAAAGGCCTGACATCCACCAAATGATGCTCCAGTCATGTCGCACCGCCAATCGTCTCAAATAAATGCAACGAAAAAACATTTCCACTGAAATTGAAAGAAAGCTGCAGGCCATTAACATGTTTTCCGAGAGTATAAAGCCAACAGGAAATGAAGATAGAAAGTGGATTCCATGGACAAATATGCTACGCCAGCATTGCTACGCAACACCAAACCAGCACAACGAAACAAAGCAATGCTACGCCGAGACAGGAAAATTCTAAGTGCACAAGCCTGTCATCACGATCAGAATAGTTCGTTATTCCTGCGAGCCAAACCAGAATCATGTCCAAACAAACGCTTATCGTCGGGATCGTCACACTCCGCGAGTCTTGCAACCACCAGTGCCCAAAGCAGGCACCCAAAACACAGAGCGCAAAAAAATAAATTGTGTAAAGGAAAATAGCCACGAATCCCAGTGAAAAAGCCTTATCGCATGGCGCCTCCCATATGTCACACTCACACCAGTCAGTTCGCTATGCCAAACGGTTTAAGTAAATGCAAAGAAAAAGTATTTCCGCTGGGATCCAAAGAAAGCCGAATGCCATTGCTGGGAATGGTATCTGATTCAGAGATGAGTTGCCACCAAAATGCAGATATGCAAGGATGAAAATGGATTCCATGATCACCAGAAGGGGTGCAGCGACAAGTGCACCGATATTCCAGGGGATCCGTACCCCTTCCACGTCATACTGTTTGTACAAAAGATGCACCAAATACAACTGACAGTTGTTGAACAGCAAATCATAACGTGACCCAATAATGGGGTTCTTTTCCGCTGCTTCCTTGAGTCTAGAAAGCGATGTCCTTACCCGGATCGGCCCATCTGTGTCCAAAATCTCATACTCAAAGTGATCCAAGTACTTCAGCAAAAGTCGTTCAGCCAATCTGCGGCGGGGATCCACTGGCCACAGAAGGTTCATAGATCCTCTGAACCTCTTCCTGCACTCCTCTCCAGACTGCACAATGTCAACTAAACTGTGAAAGAGGCCTTGGATCGTTTCATATGATACTTCCGGGAACTTTTGCAAATGAATTTCTAGCCCTCTTTGGATTACATCATCTTGCAACCTTTCAGAGTTGTCAAAAGAAAGTCAGAAAAAGAACTCTTGCAATGTATTCCAGATCTTGCTCTGATGCCATTGGCCAAATGCGGTCCATCGCTCTTAGAAACTCTTTCTTCGGGTCATCTGTCGAAAGCACTGCATCAATGAAAAAGAGAAACTCCCTGATTTCAGCACTTTCACATGGCCAAATCTCGTTAAGGGCATCTTGAACTTGTTGGCCACGGCCTTTCGGGTACATGTTGCAGCGCCGGAAGCGGTCCAAACAAGCACGGCAAAAGTCTCCTCCTTCGATCACCATCCATGTCGACCACCAAAAGCTTCATCCTGCAATGGCTTGAGCCCCAACGTGCTCCATTGTCAGGGTCCACTGCTGACAACTCCACAGACCAGATTGTTCCATCATCAAAGATCCAAAGGCTGGCCCAGTGGGACACCAGGCCTGGGCATTGGCCAACAAGAACCACATGGGCCTCTCGTTCGTCTGAAGGCAGAACATCTGAGTCTATGTCAATTGCATTCATCTGGTCCAGGCGCGAATAGCCACGGGGTTTGGATTGACCCGATACGCCCATGGAAGAA